TTAAAGGATTAGACAGACCCTGAGGGAGAGAATGGAGGTGGGGCTCTCTGTTATAGCTGCTGGCTGGCAAACAGACTGTAGGGCCCAAGAGGGGCTGGAGATTCCTATGTGCCAGAAGACAGTGCCTCAAGTCCCTTCTCCAAACAGTCAGCTATTTTTCCAGGCTGCCTTCCCCTTTCTTCTGAGCAAAACACAGCCCCAGAGCCCAGAGCTGTGCCTCAACCCAGCCTCACCAACCCTTCTCTGTAACAGCCATAGCCATCTGCCTAGAGCCAGAGCAGGGATCACACTCTTCCCAAGGCAGCCATGCCACTAAGTTTCTCTCGGGTCAAGCAGGAGGGCTGCCTTTCTGTCCTTTCCGAGGTCTCCTCATTTCCTGTGGGTTGCAAATTCCATTTCCAGTGGATCAAGTTGACCTCAGCCCTACCCCAACCCCAACTCCCAACCCCGACCCCATCAATGCTCTCTGTTTAGTGAGAACTCAGAACAAGACAGAATTTCATGAGGAACTTGGCATTGTGATTCTCTCTCTCTCTCTCTCTCTCTCTCTCCTCTCTTCTCCTCTCCTCTCCTTCTCTAGGTCCTCTTCCTCCTCCACCTTCTTGTCCACCTCCTCCTCCTTCTTTATGGCCCTTGTTGTATTGCTAAAGCTGTCTCAAACAATCCTCCTGCCTCAGCATCTCCACCCCAACAGCTGGGATTATAGGTGTATCCCACTGTGCTCAGCTGTCCGCCTCTTTTCAAGTGCACTAATCCCGCTAGCAGAGTGGCCTTGGACAAATCGCTTCCCTTAGCAGCCTAGCTTCTCCCCTTGTATGAGCTGTGATCCTGCCATTCTTTTCGCTCCATCTCTGCAGCGCATCAACACGTAGCCTCAATATAAAGATGTAAGAGAGATAGTTTGCATTTCTCTTCTTTTTACTTTTCTGAAGCCTGGTATCTCTTTTACATTTGTGATGCCTCTCAGTTCTCCCCACCGTGTTTCAGATACTCAGCAGTGCCTGTGGCTGGCGGACGCAGACTTAGCGGAGCTGATCTTTATCTGGCCGTTCTGATTCTGTGAAATCGTCTGCCAGAAACGTTTTAAGTGAGGAATTTGGTCCACATGGGTCGAGCTAATGCTTCCCTTAAAGCATGTGTCTGGGGGCGGGTGTTTGGAGCCTGGTGGGACTGGTACTGTACCAGTGCATGTACACTCATTGTGTCCCCACTGCCATTCTATGGGACACAGAGAAGTTAACTTAAATGTGTTGAAGGCCTAAGAAGCCCATAATGACAAGACTAGAGCCTAGGCCACCTGGCCCCCAAGCCTTCAAGCTCTCCTCCTCCTTGCCTTCAGTGGCTTCCCTGGGCTATCAATAAGGAGAACCTTGGGGTGTCTTGCCTGGCACTTGTTACTATAAACACATCTAGCCAACGAGAATATAGGGAACCAGCCCTGATATTGTTGCTATGCGGAACTGAGAAGCCAAAGATCTCTGGGGACCCCGCTGCCTCTGGCTACCCACTTGTCTGACTCTGGGTACCCCTGATTGGAAAGCCAAGTGCCCTGGAGTGGGTGTACAGGTTGTACGCTGCTCAGAGGTGTGCCAACTATAGGGTGGGTGGAATCTGCCAGATCTATGCTCCACTTGGCAAGGTGCAGGTCCTAGCACGAAGCTGCATCTGGATAGACAGTGACTTTACACAGGGTACTGCAGGCCTGTGTGGAAGGCAGGGAGTAGATAAGCAAGCTTCTCGGTGTGGCTCAGAGTTGGGGGACTTTCCCAAAGACTCATCCTCCCTATTGCCTTCCCAGACTTTGACCTGCGCTAAGCCTGACGCTACCCTCATCCTCCTTTTTGTACACACACACACACACACACACACACACACACACACACAGGATCGCCTCTTTCCCAACTACCTCAGGCCCTAGGCCCACCCGGTGGCTCAGATTCAGGCCTTGCTCATTCCCTGCGGGTATTGCAGAAGCAGCTGGGTCTCCCCCACCCCAGCATTCCCACCCTCCTGTAAAACTTGGAGGCATCTGCAGTGCAAGGCTCGACTTGTCGATGTAAAATCTCACTCTATATTCCACCCAGGTTTATACGAGTGAATTATGCAAATCTTTGATGGAAAAATATTCCTGCGCACATCCTTGAGAGTGTAAAACCTTAGTCAATAATTCATACTTGGATGTCTCTGACTGCGGGCTTTTTCTTCATTATAACTTACACCTCGTTATTTGTCTTTCGCATTTTATTGTATATTCTGGTGTAATGTCGTGCATTATAAAGTTTATCTGCTTCATTATTTGATGAATCGGGACTAGGGAATGTGCTGAGACATTGGTACAGGGGGCCTGGGGCTAGGGCTGCCCCACCCCCACCCCACCTCAGATCCTGCACATGGAGGCCCGAGTGAAAATAGCTGGCTGTGCGGTGTGACCTCGGGGAGCCTGAGGGAGCAGATGCTGCCCTCCTCCTTCCTGCATCTGTTCAGATCGTCCCTTCACCCT